CCGGTGTCCTCAGCACAAGCCTGTGGGCCCCCACCCTACCTCGCTGAAACCTCAGCCACTTACTGCTCCCAGCTTAAGTGGACTCTAATAAAGTTGCTCTTTGATGCATTAATAACTTCTTCTTCCCTTCTGGGCTGCGGGGCCAACTTCCGAACAGCACTCTGCATATCCTTGCCTGACATGCACATCTTTAATTATTTCTTTCTGTGAGGGTTGGATTGAAACGAGGGGAACAGGAAAGTGATGACATATTTCTAATGAATCCTTGAAAAAATAATACTGCTGTCTAAGCTTAAGGCATCCTGCAGAAGCCTTAGAGAGAGAAGTGGAGCACAGAAGAAAGGAGGAGCACTCCAAGTTTATTATCTGCAATGGTCAGCTGGCTCACTGAGAATTATGTTATTAGAATTCTATCATTCTATTTCAATTCAATTTAATTCTATTTTATTTATACAGCGCCAACAACAGCAGTCGCCTCTGGTGCTTTATATTGTAAGGTAGAATAATACACAATAATACATCCAGAGAACAATCAAATGACCCCCTGTGAGCAAATACTTTGGTGTTCCTCAACATCACCCAGCCATCCTGTTTCCCCGGCTGCTTGGGGCAGGCTCCCGGGCAGCTAGCAGGGCCTACGCTGCCTTCAGCTGCACCGGCTACAGGGGCCTGGCTAGCTTCAGGTGTATCAATTCAGTAATCCTGGCCGCCAGAGCTGCAGATATGCTACATTTATTACAAGTATCATTACTGCTAAAGGAGGCCGAGGAGTAGCTAACATCTGACACAATTCAGCCTGCCCCAGGGCAGCTGTGGCTACAACTGTAGCCTCCACCAGTGTGTGAATGTGAGAGTGGATGAATAGTGGAATTGTAAAGCGCTTTATCAATGCAAACCATTATTATTATTATTATTATTATTACAATGAGCAGGAAAGTGCAGGAGGGACAGGTGAAGAGGCCATGCTGCTAGCGAGTCGGCTACGAGCTAAGCTAAGCTAGTGAACCAGTAAAGACACAGTGAGTGAAAACTTTGGCTATAAGTTAGGGAGTGAGTACACAGAGAGTGTGCTTCGGATGATGACACCAGGTCACCGTGTCACACATCACAATCCTTTTATACAGGATCTGAGATGCTGTCAGTGTGTCGTCACATCCCTGTGTGGGTCTGGGACAGTGGCTTTTACGCCCTATGATCATCTCATTTGCACTTCAGAACCGTGTTTTCAGGAAGCATTCTCACTGCTGACAGTGACCCACAGGCTGAGGATCTTTATCACTCTCAGCTTAAAGTCACTGTTTAAAATCATTATTATTATTGTGTGTGTAAAATGTGTGTGTCTGTGTGTGTTTGTAGTGTGTGATTTGTTTGTTCTTTTAAAAGTCACATCCATGAGAGGATACGGTTTTATTCACATTTCTCGTGGTTGCTTTTCTAGAAGGAAAAGCCTCACCTGTGTGTGTGTGTGTGTGTGTGTGTCCTTCAGTGGCCGTTCCTTATCAGAGGCAGATTGAGGGCCATCACCCACACTGTGTTGCCATGGTGAAGGACAGAGGCAGGTTGAGTGACAGCTCGTCTCAGCACTCGTCCTTCCTGCTTTTTAATTTCCCAGTTTGTGTTCACACTGAGTCACTGACACGGCTGTAGCTGATCACCTGTCTGTGCTGCATGTCAGGAGTCTGCAGCACGCTTCTGTCATAAAAAATGCAGTTACCAGCGAGGGCGACTGCACTGAATAGTTGCCATTGGCCCAGATCTAGTTGCCAAGGGCAACCAGGCAACCAGTCCAGAGCTGCGTCAGTACCTACCAGGGTTTGTTGTACAGGTACGGCCCTAAGTCTTTATTTAGTTTAACGGCACAACCAGAATCTGCTCAGTTTGTCTGAACCCAAAATACCAAAGAATCACAGTCACAGTGGGGTTATCACAGTGGGGGTATCACAGTGGGGTTATCACAGTGGGGGTATCACAGTGGGCTGGATTCAAATAGCCTGCCTTTTATTTAGCAGAAAGTTGACCTGCAGAATTATTCAGTGCACATGCATTATGAATTCA